ATCCGTCTGACTCGCCTGCGACGAACTGGAGCATCCAGAATTTGACAGAGGTGATTCTAGATCCTTCTCTGTTCATTAATAGCATCTCTGCAGATTCTGTACATTTGTTGGGAGCCTCTTGTAAGTTTATTAGAGTTTACTTGAAAGTCCGATGCTCGGAAATGATCTGACATGTTTGTTTCTGTGTACTGTATGTATGTGACGTAAACGTGTACGCAACCTGAGCAGATCTGACCAGAATTTTGCGTCTTGGGCAGTGTAGACAGAAACGCTACAGTGGAGCGTATTCAACTTTTCAGATTTTTGTGTTTTTAAGCCCCAAAAACACCGTCACTATCTAAACAAAAGGCACTTCTGACAAAATATTTAGTAATTTTTACCCGCAAGTGTTCTCGTGTAAACAGGCCCAGACTGTGAGTGGTATCACCTCTCCACAGATATGACTTGTAACTTGGTCTCCATGAAGATAGAAAAGTTTAATGTCATACTGTGAAACATCCCAGACAAAGGAACATCTCCACCAGAAAAGTGGCACAATGCATCTGTAATTTTAGTGTTAGGATTAGGATTAGGATTTTAGTAGATTTGACATATGTAGAGGTAATTCTATACCATATTTTTTGGATTATAAGTGGCGCTTTTTTTCATGGTTTGGGTGTTTCCTGCGACTTCTACTCTGGTGCGACTTATATATAAACATTTTCACACTGAAGCTGCGAGAGGCTCTAGTCTTTTGTGTCAGTATCTACGCCTGTACCACTGTCACTTTGTATTATACTGCGCATGTCTCCTGTTTTGTTCTGCTGCAAATAGTGAAATATTCAACCGAAAAACGTAATCGAGCAGCAGAAAGAAAGTTTGGAGTGAGCGAGAAACTTGTGAGGGACTGGAGGAAAACAGGGATAGAGAACACAGCTTCACGGTAACCAGGAGAATGCGCCACGAAACTTTCCTGGAAGTCACTGGATGGATGGACAAAATCTGGACTTCAGTGACACTGAAACCCTCCTGTTCAGAAAGGCTGGAATGATTCTGGAACTGAGGCTGAGTCTGACGACAGCGACACAGAAGAGGAAGCGACGCTCTGTTTACATCGTGGATTTATAGTTTATCTCCGGAGTTCGCTCAGAAATGACACCGAGGTCGAATTATTCAATGGATTTAGTGATTTGGAGTGAGATCGTGAGTTCGGTAAACTTGTTCTGTTGTTTATGCTGTAATTATCTGAAGAACTGTTCATATGTGACATTTACATATTAAAGCCTATTCAGTCTGTTGTTCTCTGTTCTATTGTTGTTACTGTAACTTGACTTTATAGATGAAATGTCAGTTCCTGGTCTCTGATTTTATAAAATACATTTCCCCAAAAAGTGCGACTTATATATGTTTTTTTCTTCTTCACTGTGCACTTTTTGGCTGTTGCGACTTATACTCCAGAACAAATTATAGTTCGGAAAATAAGGTCACTGTTACCTAGCAACCAAACTGTTATTAAAAGCCACCTTTTTTGTTAAATGTTCCGTAATACGCAAATTGACTCTTGTGAGCTTTAAGTCGTGTTATAATGTTGTTACCTCCTCAAAAACAGTCGAATGCTTTTCTCCACGGGGACGTTATTATTTGTGTCTGGAATGTTTCACAGTATGGCATTAAACCTTGTTACAGGTCAGATCTGTGGAGAGGCGACCCAGCTCACAGTCAGAATGTTTGTTTTTCTAGGTATTTTTGAGTTATAAAACCACCTGTAGTTGAATAAATGTAAAGTAGGGCTGTTTAATCTCTTTTTTTTTTTTTACTGTGGAACATTCCAGGCAAAGAAATTACATCTCCATAGAAACAAGCAACCGAAAAGTGACACGATGCACCTTTATCTGAGGACAGAGAGAGGTCGTAACACATAAGCAAAACGCAGAGGGCATGAGGAAGAGAAGAAGAGGATGTGATGTCTTAAGAGCCGGTGTCAGTTTCAGGAAGACTCTTCTCCGATGTTCAATAGTTCAAAGTGTATTTAAAGGATCAGGTCTCAATGTGCAGTGTAATGTACAGGACGATGCAGCTTCACCTTCAAGGATACAAGGGGATTTTGGATTTGACTCCGATGTTTATCATGTTTAATGTATGGAAATGTCAAATTATCTGCGAAGGTTCTAGTTGAGGTAAATCTGATTGTTGCAAAAATTAAAGGAGCGTTGTGTAATTTTATTTAATGCAGAGTATGCCACTTGCTTACCAGAAAAGATATACTGCATCTTTAAATGTAAGATTTAGATGTTTAGAAATTTTATAAACAGTGACATTTTATAACAGGGTATCCCCAGGTTTGACTAGGCTATTTAAAGACATTTTTAAGACCACTTATATGAAAATTAAGACCAACATGGCGCCCATTATGCAAAAAACACCAGATCCAGTTCTAATAATGACCATTGCTTACTGTTTTAAATAACGAAAAATACTTTTATTATTTAAATCTCATTCAGAACTCATTATAATTGTACGCATTGCTTGTAAAATAGCCAAAAAATCATTTATAACACAGGTGTCAAACATGCGGCCCGGGGGCCAGATCCGGCCCTCCAAGACCTTTAATCTGGCCCTCGGCTGATTTTCTACTCAAATATTTTAATTATATTTTCTATTAAAATATTGTTAATTTTCTGTGGTGTTTATCACAGCAGCGTCTCCAGTGTCTCTGTACGTGGCCCCTCCCACCAGAGCAGCACAAATGAAGACTTGTCTCTTTCCAAACGCTCTTAAAGGACGATCGTTTTGACTGTTGACCGTGACACCCTCATCAACAAAATGTCAAAAATGAGAAAAGTGGAGCCGAGTGCAGGATTTTCCAAGAAAAATTGACTATTGAATTTCTATTTACATACAAGTTCATGTTAAAACATTGTGTTGAAATTGCATTTTTTTTCTTAAAGTTTCAGGTTGTTCATAATATTATAATATTTTGTAAAAGAAAGAGTTCATCAATTAAAAAAGATTTCTGTAATAGATTTGCGTTTCTCTGCACAAATATTTGAACTTATTGTTATTTTTGGGGTTTATATGACATGAGTTTTCTGATCCGGCCCCTTTGGGATCAAAGTAGATTGGATACGGCCCCCGGACCAAAATGAGTTTGACACCCCTGATTTATAACTTTCTAACAAACTAAGTATTGTTTGCACATACTCGAAATTAGATGTTCATTCACGCAATTTCACGCTGTTGCTGTTTTTTTTTTTTCGTTTCTCCATTTAACATTGCACTACAGACCGGCTGAGTAAACAAAAAAAAGGCTCATGAAATGTAAGACCTTTGTGAAGAAAATAACACTTGGATAACATAATTTAAGACTTTTTAAAGTATTAATTTAGGAACATGAAATTTAAGACCTTTTTAAGACTTTTAATTGACTGCCATGTATAAACAGTGTACTCAAATATGACGTTAACATGTTCAAATCAAATAAAACTTTTACTGATAACGATTGTAATTAGGGCTGGGTATCATTAAGAAGTTGCCGATACGATACATATCTCGATGTGGTGCACTTTCGATTCAATGCGATATATTTCAAATCGATTAAATATGGTTCAATAAAAATAAAGGCTAAATTATGTCTGTGTCATGTCTCATAATTATGACTTTCTGTGAGACTTTTTTTATTTACTGGCGGAAATGGGCTTCCATAGATACAAGGTTGGGTCCACGAGAACAAGAAGAGACGAGATTTAAAAATAATCCCTAATATATAAAGTTCAAAATTCAAAGTTCAGAGTTGGCTTTATAGTCAGTTTCTTCACATTTACTAGACATTAGAGCCCTGCAGTCCCGACGCAAACCACTGCAACGCGGGACACATTTTAAAAGCTCGCTGCGGGCGCGGGCGGGAATGGGACTAAACAACGTGGGAGCGGGCGGGAGGGATGATACACTGCAGTACCGCAAACTAAATCTGAGTGTAAAATAAAACATACAAAAGAATATAAGCATATCATGTGTAACTTGTGCTGCAGATTTTATTTGGCATTAATAATAACATTTTAAGCAGCAAGCCGTCCCCCTTCTCGTACACCGCGCAGACTGACCCACCCGTCCCGTACGCCGCGTGAACAGTCCCCCCCGTATCCGGACAATCCTTCCGTACGCCACGCAGTCAGTCCTTCCTTCCGTACAGTGCGCGAACAGTCCCCCCGCGTCCCATACGCCGCGCGAACATTCCCTCCTTCCATACGTCGTGCGGCCTGCGCCACTAAACCAGAACTAAACCAGAACTAAACCAGGACTATACCAGGTCTAAAAACAGGTCTAAAACTAGGACTAAAAACAGGATTTAGCCAGGACTTAACCATGCCGCCGGACCGCCCACCGCGCCTCCTCCCATACACAGCCCAGTTCCTTTCGCTTCTCCATGTTTGATAGAGCTTAAGAAAGCAAAGGTTCCCATCCTGCAGGACTTGCGGGCGGGTGCGGGACAAAATATCGCAGATGCGGGCGGGAGCGGGACTGAAAATTGTGTCCCGCGCAGACCTCTACTAGACATACAAAGAAATCGAAATGACGTTTTTCTTTATTCCATGTGTAGACAAGACAGGACAAACATTTACGTGCACTGACACAAGTAACATCAACCCTAACTTTTCGCTAAATTCCGCGGTTCAGTTTCCAATTTTGGCCTCATCATTTGATATTTATTTGATATGACAGTTTTCTTTCCATTCTAGTGCTACTTTTTGGAACTGTAAGAGACGTAACTCACCAACACGTGACCCTTTTTGTCCAATCCAAATCTAAACACTTGGAAAAAAATCTCACGAGATCATTTTTCTCTTGTGTGCACGATCTTGTGGCAATTTTGTCTCGCGAGATCTTGTGGCACGAGATCTGATTGTTCCTGCACTTCAGCCAGAACCACTAACCTCCTCGTTACCATGCCAATTTACTTTCACTTTCACTTTCACTAAAATAAACAAATCCACACGCAGCAGATGCAGAGTTGTGTCTCTCACCTTGACAGCCACGAGTATCTTGTCCTGGTCTGGGGACAGGTTGTAACACTCGGCCAGAAACACTTTCCCAAACGCTCCCTCTCCCAGCTCCCTCTTCAGGACGATGTTGTGTCTCTTTATGTGCTGCACGACTGGAACACAAACACAAAAAACACACAAACACTCACGTTACACAACAATACTTTCTTTTATCCATCAGCGCACACAGTAAATCATTTTACAATTAATTATGTGTAATATGAATTCATTATTTGTAATACAATTGTCAGGCGCCAGTGTTTCTGACTTTTAATATTGTAAACTTTAAATATTTCAAGCATTTTTTTTGGGAATTTTGAACAAATCCAATCAATCTGTAAAATAATTAATTCACACCAAATACAAAGTAATAAAAAAAAAAATTTAAATATAAATATTTTCAGAACTACATATTTTGAACACCCCACCCCATCCCCCCAAAAAATAAATAAATAAAAAATAAATAAAATAACTAACTAACTAAATAAATATACTGTGATTGACAACTTTTGACTAAAGATTTGTATAAATGACACTAAACTTTAAAATAAAACAAAATAAAATAAAATAAATTTAAATTGTTATATAAAGCTGTAGCATTTGTAGCTGCAAAAAAAAAATTATAAATAAAAATAAATAAATAAAAGACCAAAAACTTATGAATAAATCAAATAAATAAATACATAAAAATGTATTAAAAAATACAAATAACTTTATTCATTCACTTTATTCTTGTAGCAGTAGATGTACCTGTCTCTTGCTCTCTTTTTTGCTACTTACTTAGAATTTATTATTACCTTTTACATTTTTTACTCATTGTTATTATATTATATTGTGATGTGTGAGCTACTGTGTCCAAATAATTTCCCTTGTGGATCAATAAAGTTTGTCAAAGTCAATAGCTGCAGGCTATAGACTACAGGCTTACGGCTGCAGACATTCGGAAAACAGGAAAAACATTTTCCTAAAAACAATTTGACCATTTCTACCAATAAAATCATTAGATTCATTTTTATTTCCGCTTTAATCCCACTCACATGTTCTGAATTAACATTTTAAAACAGAGGCTGATCGCGGCGCTAACCCTTTGTCACAATAAAAAGTGTGTGTAATCTGTGGATCTGTACACACACACACACACACACATCTGCTGCTGCGTGTGTGTCTGCGCTGCACTCGGCCCAACTCTGCACACCGCACACCGCTCCTGTTGCTAGGCGACCGCAGACTTCATGCCGGCAGATTTTTAGAGAATTTGGCGCGTCACCATAGAGACAAAATAGAGGCTTATTGTGCGGCGATTAGCCTTAGCGTAGTGGTCTTACTATCAGCAGGCTCTGTGTGCTCCGAGTGTGTGTGTGTGTGTGTGTGTGTGTGTGTGTGTGTGTGTGTGTGTGTGTGTGTGTGTGTGTGTGTGTGTGTGTGTGTGTGGGGCAGGGACAGCTGACGGGGGCGGCTGGCAGGAGCAGTGACAGGAGCAGACTGTTTCTTGAGTCATTAGGCTGAGTCAAGAAGAATAAAAACATGACATTAGGTCAATCATATTTAATACTGATGGAGCAGAGACTATTTATTTAGTTAAAATGTAGATTCTTGAAATATGAAGTTCTCGGGTCTAAATAGTATTGATGTAACAATATCCAAATCTCTCGGTACGATATTATCACGATATGTATGTCATGGTACGATATTATCACAAAATACATCTCATGGTACGGTATTATCACGATATGCATGCCATGGTATGGTACTGTCACAATATGCATGTCACAGTATGATGTTATCATGATATACATCCCATGTATACATCTCGCTTTATGATATTATCACAATATGCATGCCATGGTAGGATGTTATCACAATATACATCTCGCGGTGCAATATTATCACGATATGCATGTCACAGTACAATGTTATCACAGTATACATCTCACGAACACATCTCGCAGTGATATATTATCATGCTGTGCATGTCACAATATGATGTTATCCCAATATACATTTCATGTATACATCTCGCAGTATGATATTATCACGATATGCATGTCATAGTACGATGTTATCATGATATACATCTCACGTATACATCTTGCGGTACTATATTATCACAATATGCATGCCACTGTATGATATTATCACAATATGCATGTCACAGTACGATGTTTTCACGATATACATTTCACGGTATGATATTTATTGTGATATTTTGAAGAGACTGATATAACTGTAGATGAGATACGTTTCTGCTTTTAAATATTTGGATAAGATTTTAATGTGAATTATTTCCGTCATAATCCCAAGAATTCATGTAAAAAACATATTTCTTCATGTTGTCTGCGCTGAAATGAATCATGGGATATGTAGTTCTTTGTGTTTATAAGGTTTTGCTACTGTAAAACCTGCATTTAAGCAAAGGAACTCAATTCAACAATATTTTTGTGAGACTTTTGACGATGCAATATCACGATATTTCGGTCATTGTTACACCTCTACTAAATATGTGCATTAAATTTAATTGAAATTTTGTGAATCAATAAGAAAATCTGGCTCTTATGTTATGTTAAAAGCTGTAGTCCAATTCCTCTTGAGTCAGAGAAGTAAATATGACAAAGTGACTAAATATGGCCTACCATTTTAGCCTAATAAAATACCGTAATTTCCAGACTATAAGCCGCTACTTTTTTCACACACTTTTAATCCTGCGACTTAAACAATGATGAATATAAAGAAGGATTATTTGCAGCATTGGGTTTGTCAAGTTTTTGTGCACAGTTTTGTATCGTGTTTTTGTATATTTATGGAGAACTGTCGATTGAATACGGCACTGGAGAGATCACTAGATTGCTCAAACATGTATGGATGACATCTAAAACCTCTTCAGGCAATAATACTCCCTCTTTAAAGGTCCTATATTACGCAAAATCAACCCTTGTGAGCTTTAAGTCGCGTTATAATGTCATTACCTCCTCAAAAAAAAAAAAATATCTGGAGTATAACGGAAAAGTTCCACGGCGCAGCTAAAGAGGCATTAGTCTGTCCTAACACCGTCCTCGTTTGACGACGTAATTGGGACAAAATCATCGTAGCGTGAAGTTTAGCGCTCTGTGTCCACCTCTCTCCCTCTCTTTTCCTCATTAAGATCCTCAACAAACCCGAATCCTGCTCAAACTTCACTCGTCACGTCTGCGTTCGTCGGCCACAGCGGGTATCTCACTCTTTCATTTCAGAGCGTTTAGCATCTCTCCATCCGGACTCGTTACACACCTCCGCTCTGTGATTTTCTTCTCCTCTGTTGCCGTATCTGCTCACAACTCTCCTCACAACTTTACAGAATGCTTTTAGAGTGCGTAAGTAGTCGAGTAATTACCGGGATGATCAGGTTTTTTTGTTTATCCTGGTTATGGGAGAGTCTGTGTAGATGTAGTGTCCTGGTTTCAGTATCCTGGGTGTTTTAGACCTGGTTTAGACCTGGTTTGGACCTAGTTTAGTCCTGGTTTAGTCCTGGTTTAGACCTGGTTTTAGACCTGGTTTAGACCTGATTAAATCCTGGTTTTAGACCTGGTTTAGACCTAGTTTAGACCTGGTTTAGACCTCGTTTAGTCCTGGTTTTAGTCCTGGTTTAGACCTGGTTTTAGTTCTGGTTTAGTACTGGTTTAGTACTGGTTTAGTCTTGGTTTAGACCTGGTTTAGACCTGGTTTTAGACCTGGTTTTAGACCTGGTTTAGACCTGGTTTGGACCTGGTTTAGACCTGGTTTTAGACCTGGTTTTGACCTAGTTTTAGTCCTGGTTTAGACCTGGTTTTAGTCCTGGTTTTGACCTGGTTTTAGTCCTGGTTTAGACCTGGTTTTAGACCTGGTTTTAGACCTGGTTTAGACCTAGTTTAGACTTGGTTTTAGTTCTGGTTTAGTCTTGGTTTAGACCTGGTTTAGACCTGGTTTTAGTTCTGGTTTAGTACTGGTTTAGTCTTGGTTTAGACCTGGTTTAGACCTGGTTTTAGACCTGGTTTAGACCTGGTTTGGACCTGGTTTAGACCTGGTTTTAGACCTGGTTTAGACCTAGTTTAGACTTGGTTTAGACCTGGTTTAGACCTGGTTTAGACCTGGTTTTAGACCTGGATTTAGACCTGGTTTTAGTTCTGGTTTAGTATTGGTTTAGTCTTGGTTTAGACCTGGTTTTAGACCTGGTTTTAGACCTGGTTTAGACCTGGTTTGGACCTGGTTTAGACCTGGTTTTAGACCTGGTTTAGACCTAGTTTAGACTTGGTTTAGACCTGGTTTAGATCTGCTTTGGACCTGGTTTAGACCTCGTTTTAGACCTGGTTTGGACCTGGTTTGGTCCCAGTTTAGTGTCCGACAATGAGTGGAATTACCAAAAAAAAAAAAAAAAGGTTTGTGTGAATGAAACAAAACACAACTCCACATCTGTTGTTGAGGAGGTTAAACATTCAAACACGACTCCACGCTCACAAGAGACAGTTCTGCTGTAAGACCTTTAAATTTATCACAATACCCAACGCAAAAAAACAAACCCCACTCAGATCTGTCCCTAAACGTCCGCTCTGTCGTCGCATCCCTCGCTCCTCTTCTCCACATTATTGACGAGCGCTTTAGAGCATCAAACATCGCCGGGGCCTCGTACAGTCGGGTTCATCAGCAGATTCCGCGCGGCTGAAGAATTGGATATCTGCGGACGCCATTAAATCTCACGCTCGCCATCTGCCTCTCGATGGCGTCTCCCGTGACCCGGACGGGAAATACAAACGACGGGAGAAGTGGTGATTTGAAAATGAAATGGGACAGTTTACATAGAAAGAGCATTTGTCTCCGGGGCAGAGGAGCTTTTGAACCAAGACAGGTTTTGATTTGGGATCCATCATCGGGGGTTTTACGGGCTGCTTTATTCGCTTTTGCTTTGGAACATTTTTGCGCCAGATGCCCTACCTGAAGATGTTCTATGTTAAAGGGCTCATATTGTTTCCTCGTCACAAACAGACCTGGAGTTGGGTTTTGCTTCATTCACACAAGGGTCTGGTCAAGTGTTAACGGAGGGAAACGGGCAGATGTTTTACATTCAAATGTCTCTTATTCAGAAACTAGAGGGACTATTGAAATA